AGAAATATAAGGAAAAGAGACAGAAAATGTTATGTATAGCTTTATGTGTATATCTGTATATTGTAAAAAAAAAAATGTTTACCATTAGCAGCTGCCAAAGAAGCCAATGTTTGAATGACAAAATAATGTGGTAGTGATCCTGGAGCAAGTTTATCCAAAAGTTCAGCCATGACTTCATGATCAAACCTTTTGCCAAGAGCGACTAGCACTTCTGATGCTGCTGTCTGCCATTCTGGCTCAATGTCCTTGGAAATAATGATAAAATTGTAAGTTATAAGCCTTAGAATTGTAAGAAGTTTTTAAATACTTATTAAAAAGGAACAATGGATAATCTGGGTCTAAGTTTTAGGAAGGGTGAATAGTGCTATCCGACAGATTAATCCTATCCAATGGATAAATTTATTGGATAACAGCATCAACTCATCCACTGGATAAGGATTTAACAATTATAAATGCGAGGTCAATATATAGTTAGTTATTAACCCGGTTAATAACTATACATAGACCTTGCATTTATAATGAGCAACATTTGATAGAAAACCTTCTCAATTGATAAATAAAATACTTAATTACCTCGAACATCGGCAATAAGCTTATACATCCCTCGGGCCTGTGGCCTTCAGGATGTATATGGCTTATTGCCGACGTTCAAGGTAATTAACAATTACTTAGAGCCAAGCCCTGATGGATATCTTAATTTTCATTTCATCTTGAATTCCATTCTTGCATAAATCATGAATTCACAATGATTCTTTTATTGGTATAACAATTAACCCATTCAATTATTCTCCCCTACATCCACCTATAATTCATTATTAACTTTACTTAGTTGATTCATTCACTCATTCCTTCATTATTGAGTCATTTGTTCAATCATTTGTTGAATCATTCATTGTTTATAGTAAATCAGTTCATTCACTAAATCATTTATACTTTCCCTCCTTCCTTTCTTCCTTCTTTTCTTTTCCTTCCTTCCTTTCTTCCTTCTTTTCTTTTCCTTCCTTCCTTCGTTCCTCCTTTCCTTCCTTCCTTCCTATTATTCCTTCCTTCTCTTGTTCCTTCCTTCGTTCCTTGTTTCCTTCCTTTCTTCCCTCCTTCTTCATTCATTCCTTCATTCATTTATCCATTCATACCTTGCTTTTAGTCATTTCATCAGAAGCAAGTTTGATCAGTTGCTTGCCAATATTTATGTCCAGATCATCTAGAGAATCCTTGATGACCTTTGATGCTGCCTTCAATAGTACTACTCTATGCCCAAGGCTCAGCTGGATTAGAAAAAATGATCAGGCAAACATAAGTGAGCCATATTTATAATAGCGCAGCACGCTGATTCTAAAAATAGCTTAAAGATTCGGACAAACATTGCATTCTGTTTAACCGCTACGAGGATTATACGAACCAATTTTATTATTGTTACTTAAAGTTACAATAATAACCCATGTAAACTAAGATCAACTGCGATCGGCTGTGAAAGTTATCTGCTGAAAGTAAACTTGTAAGTTTGTCCGAATTTTGCCTTTGTCTACATTTTTATGATGTCACGGCTGCACTGCGCTATTGGAGGGCCTCCCCTCTCTCCCCAACCCCCCAAGAACCCCTACGCAGGCTACAGGCCCCAAAAGAAAAAAGAAAAACATTGCTAAATAGCTCTTGATAACAGCGAAAGGAGTTCAACATCGTAAGCTCAAGTACTGTGACTGGAAGGGAAAGTTATGGTATAGCGACGTACATGATAGAGAAAGTACCCAATTCGACCACTAGAAGCTCAGTCAATCATAGCGCAGGATTTGTGATAGGCCATTAGTAGGCTTATACTATTGGCAAATATACTTTATTTTTTACCTTTTTTCCATTGCTACAGTCATCATATTTTTGTGAAATCAAAAACATATGCTTTTAAGTGTGACATAATCGTTGTACTACTGTAACTGTTCATTCATTGATTTACCTTTTGATGAAACGGTAATGATAAAAAGGTAAATTATACACCGTGAAAAGATGAAAAAAGTAGTAAGTAGTTAGTAAGTTTTTTCATGATTTTTCACAGTGTATAATTTACCTTTTTATCATTACTGTTTCATTAGAAACACCGACACAGCTCACACTAGTTTTTAGTTAGTTATCTCTTCTTACCTTTTGATGTTTAACCAAGAAAGCTTTGATTGTAGTGAGAACCATTTCTGGCTGTTTCTTTCCAATATCATGAAGAGCCATGATAATAACATCTCTGACATCTCCTTGTTTGTCATTGGCTGCGTCAACCAAGGCAATGCAAAGATCTGTTGAGTAAACAGATTGAATTAATATTGTAATTATATTGTAATTTTGGATTACATCCCAAAGTAATGTTTAAGGTTCGATTGATTAAAAAATTAGCCAAATGTAGCGTTTAATACATTAACAAGCTGTCCAGAGTGTTTTACAATGAGGGCACTTGAACCATGAACACTTCAGGTTTTTTTCGGGTTATTATTCCCTGGACTTTCTACTGCTTCAAACCCCCTAAATGAAACATTGAGTTCAAATGCACAGATTCGGGGGGGGGGATGACAGGTTTGTCCCCCCACCCCCTTTCCCCCCAAATACCCACCCTCTATTCTAAAAAGGAATTTCATGTACTAATGTACTAATTTTTCCCAAAATTTAGGTATGAAATCCCAGACTCACTTAATTTACATAAGTTGCTTTAATATGACCATGGAAATAAAAATGTAAACAAATCCTGCCTCAGTTCCTGAACCTATCAGCCTTGAAGATCAATAATTAATTTTGAAAGGATATACAAGAGAATTAACAAATAATTAACCAAAATCAATGGTGGTCCTTGTCTCGTGACTATAACAGCTAGATACAAGCTTGCAAGTACTTCCGTTTTTTTTAACCTAACGTAAGGAATCTATAATCATACGAGTTTGCTACAGGAATGTTGCCTGCTTTACCGAGAAGTAGATAAGCCATTAATAGAGAGATTAAAAATATTTATTTCAGGTATAAAATATTTGATTTTGAGAATTCTAATAGATTCTAATACTGGTTGAAATAATTGAGTGTATCTGGAACGTCGTAAAAAACCAGACCTCTGAAACTTACCGTCAACTTGACCACCAGTTTTCGTTACCGTCTCAGTTTCCATCCTTAAACCTTTGGTTATGAAATACCGTTAATAACTATTCAGAAAAGCTTAGAAAACCTCGGAAATTAAGAGGAAAATAAGGCATTTCAGCAGCGCCACCCAATGACATCCGCCATTTACGAAACATGAACTATTCCACAGGGAGCCCGATTATGATAAAATTGGGACAGAAACCCTTTATTTTATCATTATTATTTATTCATTTTTTTGAGACCAAGATAATTTGCTATAAAATATAACGAAATAATAAAATGCAGCGTTTCTACACCAAAATATAGGAACATATATATTGCATCACACAAAAAACTGTTACGCTATAATAACTTCTAGTCGTTCTAGTCGTTCTAACATTCAATGTTCTGTGCACACAACTCAACTCAAAATAATAAATAATAAATGCAAATGGTAAGATTCTATCCATGAAATTTTATTTCTAAAGAATAGACACAATGATGAATCAGTATAGAAAAATTAAAATATAGAAAATCATAGAATTATAGAAAGAGGCGCTTCAAAAAGAAATTTCTTATTTATTTGATTTTAATTTTCATTTGCTGTTCTTTCTTAATTGGGCTCCCTGTGTACAATCTCAAGTCATTAATTTTAGCGCGAAAATCATTTCAAACAAATCATGGAAAACATCGGAGAAGAAGTTTTGGTTCATATTTTTAGCTATTTTGACGTGAAAACTCTATGTATTGCAAGTGAAGTCTGCCATCAGTGGTATGGTACTGCTAATATTAGTGGCTTGTGGAAATCGCTCTGTGGAATTCGTTGTAAAAAGGAAAATCGTCCTTGCCATTTGGGAAGAGCGGATTCATGGAAAGAACGCTTTATCCAGCTCTATTCTGGAAGAATTACTTCTAGAAAGAGAGTAAAAGAGACTCTAATGCCTTCTTTTGAAGAGTTAAGGAAAGCTTTGATTCCGGCAAATGGACGTTTTATGGAGTTTCGTGTGAAAAAACGCCAAGGAATTCGTGAATTTATACAAAGCAAGGGTCTCGACTACGTCGTAGGGAATGCATTTTACCAACATACCAAGACTGAAACAATAAGCTTTAAGAAGAAAATAGTTCTTAAAAGTAAAGAAAATGGAGCCATTTATGAAGGTGGACAAGCAGCGAGGGATATGGTTGGCCTAAGAAAGGGCTCACAAGATTGGAATATTCATCCACAGACCTTAAATAAACAGGCTACGAAAGACTTTGTCGTGTTCATACAAAGTACGTMTGTTAATAGAGCTTTAGTTCCAAAAACATCAGTGCTTTACGAGCAATAACAGAGATTTTTGAATTTAGAGGATTGTACATGACAATAAATTGTTTTTTCTTGAAAGGTTTTATAAGAAATCCTCGGTAGTATAGTGGTGAGTATCCCCGCCTGTCACGCGGGAGACCGGGGTTCGATTCCCCGCCGGGGAGAGGATTTCATTTTTGATTCATTTTTGTATATTATTTTATAGTTTTATCTTTTTTATTCATTCTTAAAGCAAGTGCAAAATATTTCAGGTAACATAATTCTATTTTATAGGGAAATTATTTTTTAAAATTTTAACCTATAAAATGAAATTAAAATTTGGGCTGCCTGTGGCAAGACCGACCGAGCTATATGCTCTTCGATCCAATGATTTATTAAGATGAAACTCATTTGTGCGGGTTTACCCAAGACGGGCACCAAATCCATTGCCAATGCATTGAGGATTCTTGGCTACAAAGTGTACGACATCGATGATCAAATCCTTCATTACATGGACGAATGGCTGGATCTCTTCAACGTTGGTAAAGTACCAGATTTTTACTCCATGTTTAAGGACGTAGACGCGGTTATTGATGTTCCCAGTAACTTATTTTTCGAAGAGCTCATGGAAGCATTTCCTGACGCGAAAGTTATTCTGTCTATACGAAAAGACGAAGACGCTTGGATGCAAAGCTATACGAAACAAGTTGAAGTCTACAGAAGCTCATTCCTAACGAGGATAAGACGATTCCTTCCAACGCACGCCAAATTCTTGAGGATTCTTTTTGGTACGAGAATGGCAGCATTTGGAGTTGCTGATCTGAAATCTTCCTACATCTGTCGCAAACGATATCGCCTGCATAATGACCGCGTCAGGTCTGTGGTTCCTCCAGAGAAATTGCTAGTGTTTGGCGTTGAGCAAGGATGGGGACCGTTGTGTGACTTTCTTGGCATGGAGACACCGGACATGGCTTTCCCCCACCTGAATGTCAAAGGTCAAGTTTTCAAAACTATCATCGAAGATACTGAATTAGGAAGGAAAATTACACGTGAAGCGCAGAATTTGGTGGTGCTGTGTACTGCAGTAATTTTTGCAGTTCTTGGAATTGTGTTAATTTACTTTGTACTGTAAGAAATATGGACAATAATAATAAAGTTAATAATGATAATTCAAAAACTCGCGAATAATTTGATTTATATATAATAAGCCTTTAGTCCGAATGGAGCATGCATGTGTTACGTACGTAAGAAAAATCAAATCTTATGGCAGAAACTAGGCCGGAAACCACAGGAAGCCCAAGAAGCAAAAAGAGCCAAAGGAGATGCCTGAAGAGGAGGGTAAACAAAGTATTCCTCATAGATCACCCAACACGGCGGTCGCTTTATTGTCATTCCTTACGTGATCCGGAACATTAAATGAAAAGGCTCGTTTTCCTCCCAAATATTGCGTGTCATCCCATGGTAAGTAGCATTTTTGTACCAAAGTATACCAGCCAGAGTATTCCATTGCTTTTGAAAAAAAGACATATATACTGCTTGGGCTGCCTGTGGCTACCGGGAGGAACTACATTTGATAAGAAAGCTCGAAATAGTATTGAAAGCATAGAATATATTCCTTTGACATTTTTCTCCGTTGCATTGATGTATAGTATACATTTATATGTATCAATATAATCTCATTGATAATATATAAAATCAATTTGGTCTAGTTAAGATTGGAAAACGCGTGTGTTATGCGCACCGCGCTAAGCAGAGGTTGGCCGCTTTCCTTCCGAGGTTTATGTAATTTTTTTCCCTAAGAGAATCCCCATGGTTCGTACGGGTTTTGGAAAGTCTTGGAAAGTAATTTTTGAAATCAATAATGCATTTTTTCAGGACACTGGGCTATGGAAAAGTTATCGATTTTTTTTCCTGTTAGTTGCCCAGGTCCTACCTTGCAAAGAACTCTTTTTGTTGTATTACAGTAATAGCCCACTTCCGAGATATGCTTCGCTTGTCACGCACAAAGGTTTCAGTATGAGGCTACGTGCTAAATTTATTTTAAATATAATTTAAATTTATTCTTATCACCTGTCACGAATGACTGAGCATTTAGCACGGAGCCTCATACTGAAAGCTTTGTACTTGACAAGCGAAGCGTATCTCTGAAGTGGGCTATTGAACGGCGACGAAAGACAATCTGCATATGATGAGCTCTTATCTTGTAGCTGTTGAGATTATTGTGAAATAAACAGAGAAATAGATCGTTAAATGGTGCCATATTTTGTATTGGTTTGTATGTTGAATATTTTTCATCCATGAATTTTACTATATTTCTTTGTTTATGTGGTTTTGGAAATTTTAGTTGATAGGCTTTGAGAAACTTTAATGATTTTAGAAATTTTCAATGAGGAATCCGTAAGAACCCTGAATCTTATTGTACAATGCACTTCAATTCAAACTCAACTGTAGGTAGAAGTATGCTTTTTTCAGTGCAAAAATCCTCTTTGGACATCGATCGAGAACATTAACGCAGTAACTGGCCGCTAAATAGAGGTTGGTCGCTTAATAGAGGTTGGTCGCTAAATAGATGTACGACACTGTACAAACACCATCTCTGGGGCCGCTTTGACCACTGGCCGCTAAATAGAGGTTGGTCGCTTAATAGAGGTATGACACTGTACAAACACCATCTCTGGGGCCGCTTTGACCAATGACCGCTCAGGTTGATCATAGGTATAGTAGAATTTGGTTGCTTCTCAAAAGCAGGAGATAGAGCTGAGATGACTAGTACGAAACACCTGCAAAACTCCAAAACTAGTAGCTAATAAATCAATGTTTCTGGCTATAAGTACAATTTCTGTTCGACCCGTTCATGAACTATTTTAATATTAATTTTATCTCTATACGCCGATCGAACTCGCACTTACCATCCACACTGATATAACACAGAAGTCCCGAAAGTTCTAGTTTGTCCAACGAGCATGCGGTATCATAAATTAGTCATGAAACATAGTATAGTGTTGTAAACTGGTTTAACTATAACAAGTTAGATCCCGTTTGTGGGTTTTGTGTTTGAGGTTGATGATCGAAAATCGTAATCTTATCTTCATGAAATTTTAAAATCTGAAAAGCACGTCTGGAGTCTCCCTGCACGCGATCGCTCAGAAGAGAATATTCGCTAGTATCCCATCATACATTGCGAGATTTGCGTCAGTTTACGTGAGCAGTTTTGGGACTTTTGGGGGAACTTAATTAACCGACTGGCTATAGAGCAATGTTCGTATGACCGCGTATCCAGATGCATCATAAATATGTCATTGTCATAATATTGGAAACAAAGGTCAACTACTAACATTGATAAATGAGACAATTTCTTTGGCATACAGGCGTATGTACGACCTCCAGCCCGCCCGTGTGTGTGTGTGTGTGTGTTTTGAATGATATTGGTTCTTATTGTGTTGTTAAGTTGGTACAAATAAACGAGGTCGTGACGTAGACGGGGGGCTAAAGTAGAGAACTACTGGAAATTAAATACAAACGACAATTAATCTAGCTCCAATCACCTGCATGAAACTGCCATATAGAATCTGCGAGAACCAGAAGTCCGTAGTCATGGACTTCTGGCGAGAAGCTAGTTTATACCCGATTCGGTTCAGTAATATAATACAGCTGACTCGTAAATAGTGGTCACTCAAGTGCATGTGCAAGCAACTCGCGTCATCATTAATGGGAAAAGTACTGACGGAAAACAAGTTAAACTGGGTTTGTCTGCATATGCCAAGTTCTTCTTACATCATGCAGTCTCTTAATATAAACCAATCATGAAAAAGTTTTGATCAAAAAACCTGAAAAATACTAGTATGTTCTGGTCCCAACCTGACCATCCTTGACAGGGTCGTATAAAACTGGTGGCTCTTGCTGTACGAAATCAGTAAGTAGGCCCCCTTTGCCTGAAAAAGTGTTGAGGTTGAACATTTGAGTGGTATATTAGACTATATAGTCCAATATGAAAGGCATCATCACTGGAGGTACCCGAGGCTTAGGGTATAACATAGCTGAAGAATTGGCTAAGGAAGGGTATACCCATCTCATTTTAACTTTCAATTCCAACGTCGAAGCAGCAGAGAAGGCCAAAGCCAGTCTAGAAAGTAAATACAATATTAAAATATTCGTGCTGAAGGGAGATATCGGAGAAGAATCGACCGTGGATCAGATTTTTAAATGCGCCGAAGAAAACTTTGGCAACCAATTGAACGCATTTGTCCACAATGCAGGGGCTGCTGTTGGTATCACTTCAGAAGCAGGAACACATGATGCGAAAAAGGCTGCCCAGAGCTACAAAGATACAATTGGTAGTGGCGAGTTCAAGAATTTTTCGACCTACGATTACTTCCAGAAGATTTACCCTAAATGCTTCATAAGATGTGTGGAACAAGCTGTCAAAATSATGGAAGACGGCAAGGGTTATATTATTGCGGTTTCTACGTATGGCTCTAACGTTCTTCAGACTCCAAAACCGGGGTATGCGATCACTGCACAAGCAAAGGGATGTATGGAGCTATTGGTGAGTCGCATCGATCATATATTGCATAATTGTTTTTAGAAAACATATAACCGGCTTTTTGACTCACTTTTGCCTCTTCCAAACACTCAAGTGAGTGTTAGCAACTTCAATATATCGTCAATAATTTATCGATTTACGAGAACTTTCTAACAGTAATATGATGTACTGTACATGTTTTGCTGCAAACAAACTTGAAGCCCAGGGCTAAGCCAGATATAAGATAGAAAACAATTCGCGATTTCGTATCAAGAACTCACGAGGAAAGTGGGCTCTGGGTAATCAGTGAAGAGCTTGACAATTTCGTAAACAAGTTTTTGGTTAGTTTACCAACCAATCAGATCGAGTATTGTTTACTCTAGAGAAACGTTGACCGCATTGCGTTACTTGATATCAAGAAAACCGGTATTACGGGGTCTAGTAAATATTTGATGATGGCTTGATATGCTTCTCAAGAAATTTATTCCGGTTTAACTGGAAATTTATTTACTTTTTTGCGTACTTTTACTGAGAAAGGTGATCTTACTGATTAGTTTGAAGACTAATGCAGGAATATTTATAAATTCCAACCGAAAGAGATAACCTAATCTAAGTCAAGTGACCTAAGTCAATGATATTGTATATTTTTATATTTTTATTTATTCTTTTTGACTTTTAGAACACTGATGAAAGAGCATTGAGTTCTAATAATGCTCAGGAACTATTCATTAAGAAAAAAAATTGCATATTTTAGATAATAAAGAGAAAAAAGGATAGGTTTAAAATGATTTTATTTGCTTGCTTGCTTAATTGTTGCTTGTTGCTTGTTGCTTGTTGCTTGTTGCTTCTCTCCTCTCTCCTCTCTCCTCTCTCTCTCTCTCTCTCTCTCTCTCTCTCTCTCTCTCTCTCTCTCTCTCTCTCTNCTCTCTCTCTCTCTCTCTCTCTCTCTCTCTCAACGAATCCACCTATTCTCTCTTTTTTCAACTCCTATCTCTCCTGACTCTTTCTCCGTTTTCACACTCCCCAGTCACACTCTAAAAACCAGAGTAAATATAGTCAACGCTATTTACTGAATTTAAATAAACGTAATCATGACGAGATCTCTACAAAATTGATCTATGCTAGCTTTTCAAATTTTATTTATATTACACATTTCGTTCAAGTTAGTTTGGAAAGGCAAGCTAATGAAATATTAACAATGAAAACTAAGACAAAAACCGCAGCTTCTTTAGATCGTGAATATTACTCGGCAAATTAAACGAAAAAGATTATCACTGGATAGTACGACAATAAAAATATACTCTAATGAATTTGAGAGAGATTCCAACTTGAGAAAAACCAAAAGCTAAAAACTACAACTGGGAAAATGTGCATTTAAAAATCTAATATTGTGTTAGTCAATAAATGCTTTTAAATTTATATAAGTGAAAGTTAATTTTAGAAAAATGAGGCTAAGTAATAAGAACCGTCTACTATTTTATGAAGGGGACACCGCCCGAAAAATCCAGGGGAAATCTATGAAAATCAACTTTAATTTAGTAGAGGTGGAAACGGAAATAAATATAGGTAAATAATCATATTATCGAACTTTAATATTGTTTAAAACTGATAAAAATATTCAGATTATTGGCAAATTTCAAAACGATTCCAATCACAGGGAGCCCAATTTAGATTAAAGTGAATGGTGAAAATAAAATCGGAAAAATTAAATAATTAATTATTTTTTAAATTCGAAATCAAGATAATGTCCTCCGTAATGCGAAAGAGTAAAAAAATCAATAAAAAATGCACTAGAACATTTTTTTTCGCGCGCGCCTTTGTTTTCCTATAATTAAAACCACGTTTAACCTGTCTGATTTTTACATTCACCTTGCAGGTTCGTTACTATGCACAAGCTCTCGCCCCGCGAGGCATCACGGTCAACGCCGTCATCCCTGGTTACGTCATGTCTGATGCCTGGCACAACATGACCAAGGCAAGCGGTGGAGTAACCTCTGAAGCAGTGCAGAAGAGAATCCAAGGCACGCCAATGAGAAGATTCGGCGAGGGTCGGGAGTTTGGTGCAGTGGTGTCCTTTCTGTGTAGCCCACGGGCGAGCTTTGTCACTGGTGTTGCTATTCCTGTCGATGGTGGCCTGCACTTGCAGTAGAAACAAAACGAAACGAGACAAAAATAATATAAATAATATCAATTTTGAACCTAGCCTTCTCTGCAGGCAACTCTTGCCTAAGCTGATGATGGGGTCCTGTTGAAATTTCGAAAGAAGGTCTAAACACAGAGAGGTCTTAACACAGGGAACCCTGAAGCGAAGGATGCTTGCAGAGAAGGCTTTTTCGCATGATGATTATTTATGGTATATATAACGCATTAACAAATAATTATATTCGATTTTGTGCGTGTTCTATTAGGGGGAAATTACTAGGGAGTCCATCTCTCAACAAATCTTTGTGCCTTCAAACTTACATATGCTAAGCTAAGGTAACTCGCGCGCTGATCTTTTGGTGGTTCTTTGTCATTTAATAGTACGCTAATAACCTTATGTTTTTTTAAAAAAAACTTATGTACGTATAAAAATAAAAGCAAAAACGAATTATAATCAGTTTTATTCATATATCCTGAAACGATAGTGTGATCCCATAGTGTGTACATGTCATTGTGTTTTGCCGAGAATCCACGAAGAGACCCTAAAAAACAAAAAGACAAATAAGCCATATCATGCAACAAACTCTATAGCGCAGTAATTTCGTATGACGGTGAAAAACTCACGGCACGAACACGGTCGTGACACGGCAAGGCGTACATATTGCTAGACAATCATATTGCTAAATAATTTACTCTCCATCCAATCAAATCAGGGCTTCAGTAAGCTAATTAGCGACCTGAATCAAATAGCCGTCACCTAGCATTGTCAGACCAATTACCGCAGTTGCGCGAGAAAAAACTGAATCATTCAATTAAAGTTCTTAAGTAAATCGAAATACCCTCGCCGACCTCCGGAACAGGACAGGACGGGACTTACACCGGAGCCTGTTTAATGCAAATTACAGCTTAAATGCACTGTTGAATTTTCAACAGATTTAGTACTTTTAGCAGCAACAATTTCAACAGCAAATACGTCTTCGGGGGACCTGGAACCGCGCTAGATTTAACTCTGCGTATGTTTTATTCCGCAACACTCCACACCAAAATGATAAGAGACAACTTTTCGGGACGAATAACTACTCCCAGTTTGATTATATTAAAAAAATCAATGTGCCTTCTTTTCAGTTCGTTACGATCGTCGTGATCGGTAAACGTGCGCATGTATTGAAGCACTCGGAAGCTGGTGACAGAATGGAAAGATACCTTGGGATACCTGTGATTCTGATTTTGTCTTCTTTTTCGTAATGTTTACGATCGTCGTGATCGGTAAACGTGCGCATGTATTGAAGCACTCGGAAGCTTTTGGCAGAATCGAATGATACCTTGGGCTACCTGTGGTACTCATTGCTTCTATTCTTTGGGCTACCTGTGCTATTGTAATCTTACATAACAAACTTCTTCTATATGTCGAGAGGAATACGAGTTCTTGGTTCCCTTCTCGGCTCTCTTCGTCCATCAATCACGGGAAATTCAAGCGGCCTTCCCCTAGCAGCTCATCACCCAAGTCCCTCGGACATGGAGAGCCTAAAAACAAAAACAGCTACCTTCGCGATGAGCTGATTTTGGTTCCCCGAGGCCCAGTTTGGATGTGCTGATGGAGTCATCCGAACTAAGGTCGGATATACAGGAGGAAAAAAGGAATATCCTACCTATTATAGCCTGTAAGTATTTCCCTTCCTTGCCTTTAGCATTCTATTATATTTTTAGAGCCGTTCCTGTGATTGTTTATATTAAAAATTCCGTGAAAATTGGTGGTTTTCGATCCTTCATGTTACATAACAAAATGGCTGTCGACATTCAACCGTGCATCCAAAGTAAGGTTATCTGTAATTCATATTTTGAAGTACATCTGAATTTTTTATCAGACTGTAAGGATTTTATTAATTTTCTTTAAAAGCTTCATATACTTTTAGAGTTGTTTTTATGTTTTGTTTAGTTAATTTTGTTGAACGGCCATGTTAACTATAATGCYCTGGGCTGTCACTTTGACTTGCGCCATATTGCTAGCATTAGATAATTGTATTTTCATAAATTTTTCCCTTTCAAGCATTTTTGTATTAAGCTGTTTCAGGGTAATTTTATTGTTGAGAGGAAAATGGAGTATTTTAAGCCACCTTGTTACATAACAAAATGTGCAGGGGGGTGCACCCAGGCTCAAGCACACGCTTACCAGTCTAAGTATTTGTGGGTTCGATGGGATCCCTGTGGTCTCCTGTTATGTATGTACATTTAAATTCTTAAATGATCGAGTGATTTTGAATCTTCTCCCATAACTCATTTTTCCATTTTCTCATGCAAAGATCTCAAATGATAAATCCTATTTTTCTCATTAGTGGGGACCACACAGAAACTGTACAGTTAGCGTATGACCCAAAAGAAACAACATACAGAAACCTTTTGTCAATGTTCTGGGCCAACCATGACTCAACTACCTGCCACAAAAACCAATACATGTCTGCTATATTCTACCATGATGAGGAACAACAACGAGAAGCTGAGATGACTAAAGAAGAGCACCAGAAGAAAGTGAAGAAGTCTATTGCGACAAAAGTCTTACCAGCAGAGAAGTTCTATGATGCTGAAAAGTAAGTAGGGCTGTTTTGATCAAACTTAGAGAATGCCTAACTCACAGATTGAATCCTGAATCAACCTCTGGGCTGATCTAGGTCAGGGCATGGCTAACTCACAGATTGAATCCTGAAACAACCTCTGGGCTGATGTAAGTCAGGGCATGGCTTACTCACAGATTGAATCCTGAATCAACCTCTGGGCTGATGTAAGTCAGGGCATGGCTAACTCACAGATGAAACCCTGAAACGACCTCTGGGCTGATGTAAGTCAGGGCATGGCTAACTCACAGATAGATCCCGGAAACGACCTCTGGGCTGATCGAAGTCAGGGCACAGCTAACTCACATATTGAACCCTGAAACAACCTCCTGGATCATCTAAGTCAGGGCAAGGGTAACTCACATATTGAAACCCTGAATCAACCTGATAAAAGTTAGAGCATGGATAACTCACAGATCTAACCCTGAAACAAGCTCTGGGCTGATCTGGGTCAGATCAGTTAACTCAGAGATCAACTCAAAAAAATTTCTCGGCTGATCTAGGATATGGCTAACTCACAGATAAAAAACCTGAAACAACCTCTGGCCTGATCTGGCATACATGTAACTTCCAGGTCAAATGATAGGTTTTTAGGAGCAAGAAAAACAAAGAAAGTCTTAAGAAGAACCATCTTAAATTAATAAGGGAAAGATCCAACAAACTCTATTCATGAGACTGGTGTCAAGCCCAAGAATTTAACTGCAGAAACCACAGAGTTTGGATTCATTAATGACTTTTAAAATTCCAGTGCACGCGGGCCTAGCCTCGAACCATGTGTTTCTTTTTTTTTTAATTCTGATTTCTGCTTTTGTTTTCCAACCTCAGAAGTGAGGCTAAGCCCAGATGACTGGAGTTTTAAGGGACTTGATAGGTTTGATTGTGCCGAGTTAATCAAACTTTATGATTTATTCACAGCTATCACCAAAAATATATACTAAGAAACACTCCAAATCTGTTGGCAAGTTTGGGTCTTAACAATGAAGAACTGAAGAACTCACATGTTGCAGCAAGACTCAACGGGTACCTCGGGGGATACTCTAATCTGACCAAGTTTAATGCTGAAGTGAGCAAGCTGGATTTAAGTGAGGAACAAGCAGATATGGTTAGGAAGCTTATTGCTTACAGATAGTCTCTTCGTCCTTTGCATGAGAATCTATTGATAAATAAAGGGGGGGGGGGCACATGTAGACTGCAAGCAGTCCCTTGATTTTTCTTAGTCACTAATTTGGTTAATTTGACAGAGGGAAGACTAGTATCTAGGCTAATAACCCTTGGGAAGGGGTGTGGGGATGAGGGACAAAAGGAAAGAAAAGGGACTGCAGCCTTTATGCTTTGGGTTTCTTGTTGAATTCTGCTGTTGCTATGGAAAATTCAACACACTTACAATGCTGTACATTTGAAATAAATGTGAAGTACCACATGTAATAAATTATCCTTTTTTCTTGCACACATTGTATTGACCTTGTTTCTTTAGGTTTTTTTATTTATATTCGATTGCATAATAACCAATGAATCATTTAATTTATGACGTAGTTAGTGTAGCAATTTGCAACAAACAAGGCTACAGCAAGTCTGTCTTATGACGTTTTGTGGTAAATTTGGAGCATTTCCAACTCTACAAAACTGATGCCAATGTGCTTTCTGTGTCRTCCTTATGTTGCAAATTCTCTTATTTTATAATCACAATCATTATGATGAAACAACACAAATTACCTTATGCAATGTAATTTTAAATATAAAATTTGTTAAGACGAAGAATACTTTTCATCCCTGAAGAATAGTACTAAATGCCCAAAAGCTTAGAAATAAATTACCTATAATCCATGAAACTTTTATAGCAAAATTGTATGGCATTTTAGAGGCTGTAAGCTGGAAAATAAAAACATTTACATTTTATATTTTTGTCAATTATTTTGCTTATGTCCTGTTTTAGCTAAAATCTGTTTGCTAGTTTGAATCTTGAACTTGGTGTTGTACAGACAGAGTAGAGTTGTTGGTTCTTTCCTGCTGTGCTTCTCCCATTTTCCTCCCCCCTCAAAGAACAATTAGAATTTTCATATTCCATCTTTGCTAATTTGATCTTCAAGATTTCACATAGTTTGAGCCTGGTTCTTTCATGATTGTGCCATGCTGCAATCAGGGTTTGTGCTACTCCTAATTAAACATACTCCTTGGAAACTTGATTGAATTTAATTCACGTTTTCAAGGGCACTTGAAAAGCACTTGAATTTTACAATTTTAGTGACACTCCTTGAAAACTCCTTGAATTTTTGCTTTTATCATTACTTGCATGGCTCTGAAATAGACCTAGTCAGAAAGATTGGAAAAATCTGAAAGTCGGCCATGTGCAACCACCTTGTAAAACCTTGGCATATTTAGCTGAACATACTCCTTGAAAATTCATTTTTGGGTCCTTGAAAACTCCTTGAATAGTCCTTGAATTTTAAGCATTTACCTCAGTTCAAACCCTGTGTAATACAACAGCCAATGCTTAGAGTGACCACAGTAAATCTGTGAAACTTTAGTCATGCTAAATAGTACAATTTGATGCAAATTCCACTGTTTTCTATTGTTTAATTAGCACTATTTTGTACTATTTAGTAATTAGTGTTTCACAGATTAATTGTTTGCACTCTATTAGATAAGGCACAGACTATAATTAACTATGGATAAGTGCACAATTCAGAATTAACCCATGAAAAATTAAAACATTTCAAAGACTAAATTTAGGGCTAAATAAATAGTTCTTTTAATTAGAGTGCATGCACGCACAAAACCCATGAATAATATTTAGTACTAATTAGTAGTAATTCATACAGAATCCTTTGTTTTCTATTGTTTAATTATCACTATTTAGTACTAAAAATTAGTATTTGTTTCACGGGTTTAGTRCGAGCACTTTACTATTTTGGAACTAAATTTGGTAAGCACTTTTTGGGGTTTATTGTGTTCACTCAATTATTAACAATAAAATAATTTCATCAATTGTGAATGAATTTTTTTTTAATAATCTTTTTTAAACAAATAGTGAAATGTACTTAGCATGCATGTTAATTGAAAAAATGTTTATCTGCTTTTAGTATGATTTAAGACTCGAATATAGAGTTTCTCACGCTATGATTGGTAGGGCAACCAGTGTTTCCAAGACTAATAATCGCTGCTCCAGCGGTGATGATGGGTCTCATTTCCCAAAGTTTCTCAGATCAGATGTAATACTAAAAGGTTTCTTATCCTGAATTCTGTCTTTTCTCTGATATTCAAGTCTACTAAAACAATTATTCCCCTCGGGCTCAGCTTGGTGATTTTGGTGAATATTTACCTCATCGCTCAAAGTCTCAACAGCTCGGTAAATATTCCACCTGATAATCAGTTCRCCTTTGATTCCGTGAATAATTGTTTAAAAATGCTGGTTACTCTCTAGTTCTCTAACCTTTTAAATTATACAGTTAAATATTTTTAAATGTAAAAAAAAAAAAGCAAAAAAAAAAGTTTTAAAAGTGTAAAAAATTATAGGGGAGTGTAATAGTCCCTTTGCAGCTCAGCAATCACGTGCTGATTAATTCACTGAGAGCAAATAATGATATTTGATTCCCATGGGTGAAATACACTGGTGAGCGAACAAAATTTCTACAACCTGTTTTGAGAGATCGTAATAAAACTGCATTTTGTATCACACTGGATACACATCTTTTCATTCAGTTTTTTACAAGTACCTAAAAAGAATCACCAATTTAATATAAAAACAAAAAATTTGCCCTCCAGTACAGACATGTGACCGTTAACTGCAAAGGGCCTATTATGCTATATAAACCTTCTAAAGATAAATTAAACTCTTGCATTCAAATAAGATATGTGAAGTTTTTAAAACCCTATTTAATAGGCATTTAATTTTTTCATAGGTAAAATATTTTAATATGTATCAATATTGATGCCCATATAAAAGTAAACTATATACATTCGAAACATTTTTCTAGTAAGATATCTCCCTGGGACATTAGCCTGTGTGCAGCCCTTTATTTCTCCGTAATAACGGCAGATCGTTATTACGGAGAAATAAATGGCTGCACACAGGCTATGGGACATTAATTTAGCTCAAAAGAATGATCATGATTAGAGTGCAAGCCATATATTCCATGAAAAACTTTGTAAGAAATTGCAGAAATTTTCACAAATTAGTAAGTTCGGTAGACCTCATTAGAGTAAAGACCTGCAAAACTTTGCACTAATTTGTACGATGATTTTGTTAGTTACATTGTTCACAGTTATATTCTAACTACTACTCTGTGCTTTGATTGTTGGAATAACATTAATCACATTATAAATAGGACATGGAACATAAGCTGGGGTAGCTAGACCTTTTTGGCTATAATTGGCCTAATTGGTTCCTCCCATTTCAGAGCATGTGACTTCCATGCTCTCCAAGGTTACTAACAGCGCACAAGGAAAAAGAGCCCCCTCCTCCCCAGGCCCCTAAAAATGATACATAAATTTTCATCTTCTACTTTATAAGTTTGATTTCATGTGTAGATGTGTAGATTTCACTAGCCGTATAGTCATGAAATCTGGTAAGATTTTCTTGAATACCCTAAATCTATCTCCTAAGTTTGTTAGTTAGGCGTTTCATCTGAACAACCAATATGATGAGGATGATGATGATGATAACAAACAAGGAAACACAGGCTATCAATAGATACATTGTGATTTTCTCTTCCAAGTCATCAATTGATGATGCTGGGCCTACAGAAATATAAATTAAACACTTTGTATTAAACCATAGTTGTAATAAGCCTCCTCCAGTGATCTATCGCTATTAAACCATAACAGAACTGCTTATATATTAATATGCAATCTTCTCTATAACATGTAATTGGTGAATCCAGAATGATTACAAGGGCCATGTGACTGTTACCTCTAGTAGAAAGGCATCAAATAGCATCCTTTTTAGGTCTTGCCTAGTTTATTCTTTATTTAATATATATATTTTTTCAATTTTTCACCTCCAAATATTTCTATACATATTTATTTTTGGTCCATCCTCTGACTTCTCACTTAATTCATAGATTAGGTAAAAATCATTAATTGCCATGCACATGGATAAGAATCGCATATATCGAGTACCTTTTTACATTTTAGGGGTTATGCTTAAAATTTCTGACAAGCATCCCACCCTTTTATATAACGAGTCCCCCTTATTCCCCCCGGGGGAAATCAAATTAAGGGTGATGTTTCAAACACAGCTACCATGCAGTAGTATAATTATGCAGTTGAATATTATAAAGTGGTTTTTTACCGTGGGTGTTGTTATTTGAAGATACTGATGTTGAAGTTATGGTCAGGGTTGGCGTTGGCATTATGTTGATGGTAGAGGTTTGGTAGATAACAGTGCTTTGTGTCAATCCCTTCGCAGAAGCAGTTGTTGATGTATTTGATATAGTAACTGATGTTGACTGAGTCGAAGCATTGATGCTGGGGGATGCCACCAAAATTGAAACGCTCAGTCTGCCTATCCATTTGTTAAATAAAGCATAGTGACTCAAGTACATTATACAAGAGGTGTATTAATGGAAGGTGGGGGAAGGGAGGGGGGGTCGGACTAAAATATACCAATGATTTTGTTCAGCTATCCCCTCATCATAGGTATGTAATAGGATATGAATCACAGCCCTGGTGCTATCCTCAAGGGAGCCAGACTGACGGTATAAGACCACTTTCCAGTCTACACCGCATTCTGATGAAGACTAGCAGTAGCAGTCGAAATGTTGAGGTCCACCTAACTGCCACAATCGTAAGACAAATAAATAGTATATCTTTATTAGTCAAATCAAGCTAGGGGTCTATGATCAAAGCTGTGTTCTCATTGGATGAGCTAGTAATGTATGTACTGCCCCCTCAAAATTAATTTAAAGTGGGCTATACTTTTGGTATGAATAATCAAAATAATAATTGAGGAATTTGCTCAAACCGCATTTTTTTTTTGTTCAAAAGTGAGGTCCAGCAAAGTAAATTATGATTTATTTATATGCTTTTACAGTTTAATTTTCTTCTTTTTAACATATTTTAAAGAAATGTTATTAGTGGCACTTTCTATAAAAAAAACACAGGTTGTAACTTAGTATCATTGATCCTTCAATGTTACGGAATAACGCCGTTATGTGTATTGTATATGAAGAGAGAAATCATCTATCAAATGTTAGGTCCAATGAAGAGTGTGGGACAGGTATGTGCAGCATATGTTGTCTCGTTACTTTCATTTTATTTAGACGAAATAAGATCCTACTTAAACCCTGCGAGCAGAGGATTTTTTTAAAACCCTCTCCCATTTCGGGAGATTTAAAAAAAAAATCCTCTGCTCGCAGGGTAGATCCTACAAGATTTAGAAGGTGAAACTGCAAGTTTTCGTAACAGCACAGACGGTATATTGCACATCTAGTTGCTGAACAGTTGAAACAATAAATTAGATATATTCAACATATATAGGAAACATTTTCAAACGAATAATCATTGAACTATGAACTGCATTGAACTACAATTTAGAGTTTATAGATTTAGATAAAGGAACATTTAGAATTTCGAGACGGAGATCGACGCCACGACAGCTCAACCCGGAAATATTTTTCAAAAGCAATAGTTAGATTACATATTTTCTGACGGAGTATGAAGTCGATATGAAATAATTATGTAACTAAGTACCCTAATTATAACATGCTGTTAACGTTATATAATTAAACCTAGCTTGATCTATTAAAATAGAGTCATATATAYGATAAAACACTTGCTTGAAGACAGCGGTATCTTATCCATGAAGAACGTTTTGTTATATACTTAACTTACCATTTATCTCTTTCGTGGCGAATGCTATCAATATCGCCATTACACAAATAAACTTCATTTTCTGGAGGAGATACCAAGCGACGTTGCGTTCAATTGTTGCAAAAACGATCAATTCTTTAATTTTTCGTAAGGAACTTTCAACACTTAGTACAGGAACTCCTGAGGTAATACTTCGTGGGGATCAAGGAAATAAATAAAGCCATGTCAAAATATTTGATTGACGTGTTACGCACCTTCTGGACTTGTCATGTCAGTGCTTGTTCATTTTGAAATTTGAATAATGAGGCTTTTCTCAAGAGCAAAAGAATAAAGTTTGAAGGAAATCATTACAAATTTCTTAGATATTAATTTTCAAAAATCGAAATTATATTTGAAAACATTCGTTGGAGGCATCTCTTTCTTCACGCTTTACAAAACTCATATTTTTGCGACTTTTCAAATGATTTTTCTATCTATGGTAATTCCTTTTCTTTTCTACTTAATCTAAAAATACCTAATAAAAGCTCATTAAGTACCTTTCAAGTGGTTATTTTCCCGTGATTTTTTTCCTCAAGCGTTTTTAAGCTGTACGATCGAGATTTATCCAAATAAAGCTAGAAGAAAAATATTTGATTAGGCCAAAAATATAAGTAAAATAGAATTAAGGTGCCTGACTACTTTTGGTAAATAATAAACAAAAAATTGAAACTTTCTTAACATGAAATTTAATACTGATTTCAAAGTTTTCTAAAAAACATTGTTCCAAAATGTAACATCCCCACTCAGCCCATAAATTATGAATGCTCCCTAAGACATTAAATATTTCATATTTATCATATAATTATCCATAAAATACCTATATTTCTCATAACAATAACATGTTATTTTCACATGTGAAAATATCGTTACCATGTGTATTTAAGCTATTAGTTAGTTAGTTATAATGTTAAAAAGGTTATTAAGTTGATTTTATGGATAAATATATAATAAACAGAATATTACATGGGCACTTGGAGATACGAAATTTATCTTCTCGTGTTGAAAATCTCACATCTTTTCAATTAACTAACAAAAATAAAACTAATAATTAAAGTATATCATTTTCATGAAATAGATATGATACCGAGACATAGTGATGGTATGCTGTCAAAAGTATCACAGCTAGCCATGAGACAATAATTTCAGACATTTTTATTTTTATTTTTACCACAATAGACCGTTTTCTCAAGGATGCGTGCGCATCCAACTTGATGGGCTACAAAACTGATAAATGCAAATCCAGTAAAATTGAGAAGACAGATTTATATTTAAAGAGGAGAATAATCGATTTTATAAATCCTTATCGAAAAAAATGTCAACACGTGATAATACTAGTGTTCTGGTATCGTGGTCCATGGATAATCGATTTTAAGAATTCTTATCGAAAAAAATTTCATACCAAAAGATGATAATACTAACCCTTGTGTTCTGGTATCATGGCCCATCAAGTCCCTTAAATTTGGATGTGCACTCAACCTTAAGAAAACAGTCCATGGTGAATTTTCTCGCTTTTTGATTGGTCTAGAGCTGGGGTAATTAGGAGGACATACCAACAAATTACATCACAAATCACTTGAAACTATTTTCTTTCAATTTTTCCTCTTGATTTTGTATTAAATTTTTAATTTTCTGTGGTAAAATAAAACAATATATAATCATGTTTGCTACAGCATTCAACTCTTGGAAAAGCCTTAGTGCTTAGAATCCACTTTTGAGAAGTGTGCTGAACTCTCACTAAAAAAATATATTATTCTAATTAATCTATCCTATTCAATTGTCTTCATTATTATTTGATATTAATAATTTTCCATATGTTATATACAGCTATTCCCTTTTAAAGGCTTAATGAAGGTTTTGTTGCAAGCTCCACCACTTTAGTACTTGCAGTGGTGAATATACCAGTTTTGAGTCAAAAAATTACCGGTGTTCCTTGATTACAGACTCATTTACTCAGGGCTAGCCTTGTATCAGTGTCTAAATATTCACAAATAACGACTATGAAGTAAAGAATTTACAACTTCAACTATACAAACACTTTGAAACTTGGTGGACCTTGACTGGAACACGTGAATATTGTGCACAAAATCGAGGCTAACCCTGAGACTGTAATCAAGATAAACACAGCGATTAGAGTGCAAACAATAAATCCGTGAAACACTAATTACTAAGTACAAAATAGTACAAAATAATAATTAAACAATAGAAAACAATGGAATTTGCATGAAATTGTGCTATTTAGTATTACTAAAGTTTCACGGTTATATTGTTTGCACTCTACTTGGAACTTGAAAATGGTCTATGGAGATAGCAAGTTTGTAAATGGCCACATATTTTGTTATTGCATTACAGACATTCTCAATCACATGGGCTGCTCTAACGCATTGTTTCTGTCACGACAAAGAAGCTTTTGGTGGACGTCAATCAAGGCATTTCCATGACATTCTATAGGCACATAGCTTTGTGTTTTTGACAATATTATAGAAACGCCTTGTGATTGACGTTCACCAAAACCTTCATCGCGACAGAAACAATAGCTAGAGGGTGTGTGTGATTAAGAATGGCTGTAAACTTATGTTCAGAGTGTCTGTGTTCTCTAATAATGGTTATTTTCTATATCTAAATTAAGTTCATTTTGTTCTTATGGTCTTTGCACTTCTTTTCATACTCTGGAATTATTGACTCACTTTCGTGACTTTCATTTTGATCATCAACAGTCTGAATGGTCTTACCAGGATTCAAAGTAAAGGCCAGTCAGTTTCAATTCTGGTCATCATGACCAGCCTAATTAGTTTTAGCTCCAAGACCATTTCATTTCTGGCTTAATGCTACTGATCAAAATGACTAGGAAGTCGAACATTTGATTGGACAAGTTTCATTTCTGGCCAGACAATAATTGTCTGATGACCAACAATTATTCCCAGCCCTTTCTTTGAGAGACAGTGTTATATTTTTATATTATTATATTTGCAGGCTAATTTTAAGAGATTATACTACCTTACCTACTTAAAATCAAGCAATTGTAAAAATACCAGAATTATGAAAAGAGCACCTCAATATTGCTAACGGACTGTTYGCTTTTTACGGGGCTGGTGGGATTTTGTGAATTGTAAGTAAAGAAATGTATGATCCCTTCCAAACCTGATTTTTTTATTTGAACCCCTATTAAAACAGGATAAATGTTTTAAACAACTTTTCTATTTAGCTAATATTTAAATGGCTAAAATATGCCATATTTTCATATGTGCCCCCC